CAAATATGTCTGATATGTTTAACATTTAGATCTGCAATATACTGCGTCACGTTCATCAATCCAATCCTGTTACATTATGATTTTATATATTTTATTGTTAATTATATAATTTATAATATAAATATTTTGTAATAGAAAAAATTATCAAAAAAAAAATCAAGTTTTATTTATATTTTAAATAAAATATTTTAATAAAATAAGATAAGATTTAATTTAATGTTAATTTAGAAAATTTATTTATTATAAAGTTTCTATATACAGTCAACTCTTGATATAGCAAACTCTTGATATAACAAATTTTTTGAACAAATATAATAAAAATACTCTTATTATAGCGAATTGGCCAATTAAATCTCTTAAAATCTTTACTATAGCCTTATAGCGAAGTTGAAGTTTAAGATATAGAGTTCGTTATAATAAGAGTTGACTGTAATAATTATGATTTAATATTTTTTTTTATAATAATAATTATTATTATTAAAATGATATTATATTACTATAATAATTATTTGTTATCAATTATAACTAGTTGCTATATTATTTTTAACTACTATATTAAATATTTTAAATATATATTATTATACTTAAAGCAATGATAAATCTTAAATAAAAAAAAATTATTTAAAATATAAGTATTAAATATATATATATTTATTTAAATAATTATATTAATAATAAAATTATTAATATATTAGTTATTATTCTGTTACAAAGTAACTGTAAATTACATGATATAATACAAACTTTAAAAAAAAAATTAGATCTTTTAATAAAAATCAGTTTTAATATCTTTTATTGTGAAGTAACAGAAGCAAATCATATAACATTATATAATCAATTTTAAGACTTGAATTTTTAAATTTTATAAGAAGACAAAATTTTTTTTTTTAGTTTTTATCTAATGTTACACGTTTTAATTATTATTATTTATATAGATACTCTAAACATAATAGTCTCTAGAAATTTTTTATTATATATATAGATATATAGATTCTAAATATAATTATTTATTATATATTTTAAAATAAACAGTATATTTATATATTTGATATATCCTTAAATACATAATTTATATAAATAAGTTATTATATTATTTACTTCCTTTAAGTTTATTTTTGATTATATAATTTAGAACTTAATTTTTTTAAGGTATGAAAACCTATTTATCATTTATTATTTCTTATAGTTGTCACCTTTACTTATAGCGTGAGATTAAAATTAGAGTTAAAATAGGTTAAGATTAGTTTATTTAAAACTATATGCCATATTAAATATAAATATATCAAATATATAATACACTATTTAAATTTATCCTTTAAAAAACATATATTATTATATTTTAAGTTATTACTTTTTGTTTTCTTGATCATTTTTTTGATATTAATTATTTAATACAATTAATTTTATACTAATAATAAAAGTTTATAAAAATATATATATTAAAAAATAAAATCAATATGTTTTATATTATATATTACTTTATATTTTTAATTATTTTAAAATATTTGCTAAGTTAAACTTAATTCTTTATAATATTTAATATTATTTTCCTTTTTACTTAAATATATATAATTTATATTAGATTTTACATTCTTATAACCTTATTATTATAATTTTTACCTTTTTATATAGAAAGTTTTTCTTTGAAAAGTTGTAATTTTGATAATGCTTTTTTATATGAAACATACTGCAACAAAATCAGACAAAGTGAACATTAGTGTTACCAAGGATTCAGGGTTCAAAATTTAGTCATTATTATCACAATTGCAGTCCAATTTGTTACCTTAAGTGATATATAGAACCACTCCTATATAAAAATAGTTAATATGAAACTCATTTACATCAGGAACCCAAGAATTATAGTACTATTAGAAGTATTTTAAAAAAAGAACAAGGTGAAAAAATTGTTCCCTATATCTTCAAAATAAATAATACTCAGGCACTGGAAGCTTATCTAAGGAAAGAAAGGATTACTTATGAAATTTACCAAGAGGAAAGGAAAATTATAAGTAATAAAAGGATAATAAAACCAAGACATGAAGAATCTAAAAAGAAAATAAAATTGAAGAAAAGTAATTTACTGTCTTAATAATACTAACCCACCCATTCTGAAAAAATAAATAAAATTAATAATGTCACTAACTATTTGAGTTGGAAAAGCACTTATAATCAATGGCAAACAAAATAAAATTTTTAATATAAATCAGACGAAATGAGGAATATGCCAGCATATGGCCTTGGTTTATGATTTTGATTTAAATATAGTCGAAACTGTTATTACTTTATTCAAAGAAAAGTAAATTAAGATTCAAAATCCTTTTTTTTTAAGTGCATGAAAATTCAACTGCTTATATATACATTCCAACTAATTATACACTGAAGCACGATTTTGAGTTTGAAGCAGTATTCTAACTATACAAAGTAAATTAAATGTACATATTACGAATATCGATAAAAAAAAATGAATTTATTCGAAATCATATGACAAAGTCACTTGATCTTCTAATTCTACAAAAAAAATCGCGTCGCGTTTTGAAAAAAATGTCTTTTATTAATAACAATTTTTTTAATATTGTATTTAAGCTTTCTATATACCTTGGACATATTATTGTTCCCTATTGCTATACCTTGCATCCTGTTACTTTTTTAACGATGTTGTCAGAAGAAATCTTGAGTAAACTTCAACATATTGATTACTGGAAAAGAGTGGAAAGTGGATACATGGGACTTTTTTTACTTTAAGAAATACCCTAATGAAACAAAGAGGAAATCGCATAGTGCTCGGGCTATTGAACTGGAAGTGTTGATAAAATATTTAGGACCAAAGACAAGAAAGGGTCGGAAAGTGTTGGATCTAAAACGTAAATTGGTTAGTATTTTACACGTTCTCAGTAATGTAGAATACTAACGAGCATAGTGAGTGCTATACCCTGTATTCTGCGGCTACGGGGTGAAAACGTCTAGCCAGAATGTTTCACATCCGCTAAGACGTGCATACTTTCTATGAGGTTCTTTGATTAAGGTCTGCCGATTCTGGGAAGGAATTGGCTATGTACCTTCCTTATGATGAAGGATCTTACTCATAACTTCTTATATTTTATTACAGAAATCTGAAAGAGAAAACATAACTCATACTTCTTTTCCTCCTACTTCTGCTAAAAAAAGTAATATTGATGAAAAGGATAATCCAAAGAAGAGGCTTAAGCCAGATCATGAAGCTTCTACAGGTGTTCTAGTTTCATTTCTTGTATTTGTATTGATACTGATTTTCTCAGATCACACCCCATTTATGCTTTTTTTGATTTTTTACAATTCTCAGAGGTCTCTTTGACAAAAATCATTCATAATATATTACCAGACCTGGTCTATCTTCAGTTGAGACATTATAAATCAGATTCAAGCACCATATCTGTTGAACAACGGTTTCCTGATAGGATTTCAAACTGGGTAGGGTTCAAAGAAGAGGTGCGATCATGGCAGTCAGAGTACATCAATAAGCGATACAAAAAACCAGTATTTGGATCACGTACTATTACATGCGAAAAAGATATATGGATGGCAGCAGAAATAAATATCCATGATATTCTGACACCACTAGACAGATCTAGATGGCCGTGCTTTGGAAGATATGGCCGGAGAGCCAGATTTCATAGTGGTTGATGAAAACTACAAAGCACTTATACCCTTTGAATATAAAACAATATGGGTTTTAAAGGTGCCTTCTAATAAGAACATTGTATCACTTTATCTTCGGGAAAAGAAGACTCGAAAGGGAAAATATGCAGGTTCAAAAGATACTACAGTTTACGAACCTATAAATCAAATTTATGGATATATGTGTGCCAATAAATTACGGTAAATATTTCCACTTTCTTTTGTTTTATCCAACTTTAACAGATTTTAATTTAAGCCAATTTTATTCTTTTTATAGTTATGGCGTATTATCAACGTTCAATCAAACATGGTTTCTTAAAAGAGGTGTAAAGGAAGATCAAGGGTGGTTGCAAATATCAGATGTCATTACTAAACACATCAACAGACCCTACATTGCTCAAATCAGTTGCCTATGTAATTTTCACTGCCACTAGTAATCGATATTCACCATTCATTGAAAAGCCTGCAATGTTTGCTGTTAAAGAGTTATCTTCTGATACATCAGATGAAGAACAAAAGGATGATAAAGATCTTAAATACAAGGGAAAGAAAACACATCTTCAAAAGGGCTAAATGTTATAACCCGAAGTCAAAGCCGCCAAGCACTTGGATCTTTGGGCAATATATTGGCTTCCTAATATGAAGATTATAACTTGAAATTAAAATAGTAATTTTTGTATATTAATTGTTGATATACTAATACTAATATATATGTAAAATTCAGAATTGATTATCGTGTATCATGAAGATAATTAGTGCAGCAAATTAATAATAATAACAATAGCAATAATAATGTTACTTTTTATCACTTCATCTCCTTAAATAATTATTTTAAATAAAATAACTTCTGAACTATTTGAAAAACGTAGAAGCCAACTTGAGTGTTCTTGTCATGACGCTTTGTGAATTAAATGGTCATAAATGAACAAATAAGCATAAATATCTTTGTGGTGTCTGTCTTGCTGGTTAGATATTTGTTGGAGTCTTGCCCATGTAAGGAAACCCTTTTCCTTACGTCAAATTACAATTTATTTTTAAAAATACAAGTTACTCTTTATTATTACGGAAAGCTTATCTTTTTATACAAAAAAAAGTACATTATATGATTTTACAAATAAATAAACCATAAATAAATCATAATCATAATAATATCTTAGAACTTTCTGAAAAGCTGCAGCATTTAATTGGTAACTTGTATCTAAATAATAATATAAACCAATACAAATAATAATAAACACAATACAAATAATAATATAGCTAACGTAAATATAATAAAAATAAAATGTAATAATTTCGAAGTTTTACGCAAAATAAATTTAAAGAGAAAATTAATACGTGAATAACAATAGACTGTTAAATGTCGTCTAGTTTTTTGGAATTATAATTTTTAAAAGTCCAGAATGTATGCCCTAATATATAAAATGTCTTATTATAATTTGTTATGGAGGAAAGGTTTTTCGAGATCCGAATTGATTTTCAATTGATTCTGGTTTTTTGTATGCTTTTCTATGCAAATTTGTAATAATTTTTTTGTACTATCTTAATAAAAGAACTTGTAATCACATCACTATACCATGGAAAAAAATTGAAATTTAATTGGGTTTTAGTGTATAAATCAGCATCTGTTATACAATCCCAATTAGCAGAAACCCAGACTGTAATTAACCAAACACAGACTTTCCATCTGTACTTAATTTTAACAAAAACCTACAAAGTGAACATAAAATTATATATATAGGGATAAGTGTATATGAAAAGTAATAAATATAATGGTTCTAATGAATATCAAAAAGCAATTGATTTTTTAGAAAAAGGTTGTAAATGTGGCTGTTCTTCAAGAATTCCCAATGAACAATTTGCAGAATTAAAAGAATCCTTTCAAGCTCTTTCTAAACCAGAACAAGATGTATTTTTAATGGCTCAACTTAAAGCAATGGATAGTGGATTTACAAACACTAGCAGACGCCTTAAAAAGAAAACTAGGTCTAATAAAAGAACTTTCTATCATTGGGATCACAATACACCTCTTTGTCAAGAAACTTACCTCAATATGTTAGGGATTGGCAGAACTTATTTTGAAAATATTAGACATCATCTAATAAATAATGGTCTTTTACCAAGAATTCATGGTAATATTAAAAGAATGCCTCAATGAAAAACTAAAATGGTGATTGATAAAAATGTTGCAGAAGTAATAAAGAATTTTCTGGAAAATTATGCAGAAGTTTATGAATTACCAAGTCCAGGAAGAAGTATCAATAGAATAACTCAATCAATTATATTTTTACCAGCTGAAATGAGTTATAAATCAGTCTACAGAGATTTTCTGGCTGGCCTAAAAGAAGATAGCAAATTGAAATCCTTAAAATATGATGCCTTCAGAAAATTATGACATCAATTGACACCAGAGATTCAAATTATGAGTCCCAGGACTGATTTGTGTGATACTTGTTAATATTTTAGAGATGGTTTATATTATAATGCTTGCCAAGAGAAAGAAGCTAAAGAATTACTCAAAAGATTTAAAGAACATCTGTCTAAAGCCAAAGTAGAAAGAAATTATTATAATAAAAATACCAAATTGACAGAAGGGCAAAGAAAACTGATTAATCAAAATTATTCAAAGAGTAAAACACTATATTGCAGTATTGATGCTACTGCTCATTATAGTTATGATTGAGCCCAAAATGTTCATGTGTCACATTTAGATCAACAAGTAAGTAAAATTTATTACCTTAGTCCATGTATTTGGTATTCAAGATGAAGTAGTAAGGGAGCAAATTAATTATGTTCTTAATGAAAATGAAATTATAGGAAAAGGTTCCAATGGCACTCTTAGTATGATTTTTAATGGAATTAAGAAAATGAATAGAGGTGAAAAGCATTTAAAGATTACTTGTGATAATGCAGGTGGACAGAATAAAAACAATGTAACAGTTTGG